GGACCAGTGGTGAGTGGCGATACCTGGAGGGTGATGGGAAGGTAGGGTAGAAAGGGGGAACCGACTACAAGGATCTACATATAACCCCCTCCCTGGGGGAAGGACAACAGAAAAGTGGATGAAGGGAGACGTCGGCTAGTGTTAAGATATGACAAAACAATAATAATTTATAAATTATCGAGGGTTCATGAGGGAGGGGGAAGTAGGGAGAGAGAGGGAAAAATGAGGAGCTGATATTAAGGGCTCAAGTAAAAAGCAAATGTTTTGAGAATGATGATGGCAATAAATGTACAAATGTGCTTGACACAACAGTTGTATGTATGGATTGTGATAAAAATTGTACGAGCCCCAATAAACCGATTTAACAAAATATTACAATTTGGTAGGTTAAATTCACAAATACATGCAATAAGTAGCATGTAAACAAGGGCGGGTGGCACTGGGTAAAAATATGTGGGAGGTCATCTGCAAAAAAGAGAGCATTCAGAGATAAGGCATTAGGTAAACTTGCTTTTTATTTTTAATTTTCTTAAACACAATTTCAACACTGCATTCATTTCTGAATTTCCTACCCTGGATTTGAATTTCTGGTCAAAGACTACCCACTGAAAGTGAGAAGTTTTGCACTATTTTAGGTTTCTAGAGCTGTTTAGTTTCGGCCAAAAAAGTATTTTTTTAATCTAAGAATATCTCAATTTTTTTGCTGATGATTTCCTACAATTGTGAATACGTAGTCTGGTTCCCAAGTCAGGTGCTGAAGAGTAAGGATGTCACTCTGAGGACTAAGGTGAGCCTAACTCAAGCCATGGTGTTTCCAAAGATCTCACATGCAAGTGAAAGTTGGATATTGAATACAGAAGACCAAAAATTGATTTGAATTATGGCGAATTTGAATTATGTTGCTGTTGGAGAATACTGAAAGTACCACAGACTGCCAAAACAGCAAATTGGGCTCTCTTGGAAGTACAACCAGAATTCTCCATAGAAGGAGAGGGAGGGAAAAAAAGAGAAGCTGCTACCAAGGGCTCAAATAAAAAGTAAATATTTAGAAAACGATGATGGCAACATATGTGCAAATATACTTGATACAACTGATGTATGGACTGTTATAAGAGCTGTAAGAGCCAACAATAAAATGATCTTTAAAAAAAAAAAAAAGATAATCCAAGGGCCTGACTGAAGGCTTTAATAAATATGAAAAAAAAGAGAATTCTCCATAAAGGCAATGATGGCAAAGCTTCACCTCAGATACTATGATATATTATCAAGAGAGACCAGTCCCTGGAAAGGACATCACAATTTGGTAAAACGGAAAGGCAGCAACGAAGAAGACCCCCCAACGAGAAGAACTGACACCGTGGCTGCAACGATCGATTCAAACATAAACAATGGCGAGGACGGCACAGGACAGGGCAGTGCTTTGTTCTCTTGCTCATAAGGTTGCCCCTGGCAACAACAACTGCCATTATCCTCAATAACCTGGCATCAGCTCTAATGTTTTCCCCCTCATTTAATACTGGGAGAAAAAAAATACATTCCACGTTAAACAGTAGTAGCACAGGGCATTATTAATTCAATGTTTACTCTTCAGGGTGCATTGTATCAACAAAGATCTAGCCGGACTTTCCTCTAGAGTACAGTTACCTCCATGTTTCCTTTTTCCAAGGAAAGGTAAGGCAAATATATCAACTCTGGTTCACGTCGTTTGTACTCCGCACTGGGCTAAGGTGGGGTATCGAAGACAGAAATTCTGCACTCTGGTACTGGAGGCAGTTGAAAGAAATACAGATGAAAAAGAAGCACAGTATCCAGATTTTAAAGTGAGGCTACTAAGCCAAAGATTGCATGATTCAGAAAGCATCAAGAGAAGATGAGAAGAACAGTCAACACTAGTACCAGAAAGAACTGGTCGACAGTCCACCATTTCAGGAGGTAACATATGAGCAAGAACCGATGATACTGAAGAAGTTCAGGCTACACTGAATGCATTAGCGAAAAACAAATGCTCCAAGAAATGATGGAATATCCATTGAAATGTTTCAGAAACATAAAGCAGCACTGGAAACACTCATTCATCTATGCCAGGAAATTTGGAAAATAGCTACCTGGCGAAATGACTGGAAAAGATCCAGATTTTTGCCCATTCCAAAAAAGGTGACCCAACAGAGTACTCAAACTATAGAATAATATCATTGATAATCACACACAAGTAACATTTTACTTAAGATCATCCAACAACGGTTACAGTGGCACATTGACGGGAAACTGCCAGAAGTTCAGGCCAGATTCAAAAGAGGATGCAGAATAAGGGATAGCATTGGTAATGTCAGGTGGATCTTGGCTCAAAGCAGAGAATACCAGAAAGATGTTTCTATGTGCTTTATTGACTATGCCAACACATTTGACTGTGTGGACCATAATAAACTACGGATAATCTTGAGATTACAGGACATGTCACAGGAGCAAAGGATGCATCATTGTGCTTATGAGGAACTTGTACATGGATCAAAAGGCAGTTGTGTAAATGGAAAGCATACAGCATAATTTAAAATCAGGAAATATGTGCATCAGGATTGTATCCTCTCACCATATTTGTTCAGTCTGTATGCTGAGTACACAATCAGAGAGGCTGGATTAAGGAAGAAGAATGTGGTGTCAGAATTGGAGGAAGGCTTATTTAACATCCTGCGATATGCAGATGACACAACCTTGCTTGCTGAAAGCAAGGACCTGAAGCACTTGCTTATGAAGATCAAGGACCGCAGCCTACAGTATGAATTATGACTCAATGTAAAGAAGGCCAAAATCTCACAACTGGACCAATCATGATAGATGGGAGAAAAGGTTGAGTTGTTCAGGATAGTGTCTTACTTGAATCCACAATTCATGCTCATGGAAGCAGCAGTCAAGATATCAAAAGACATACTGCATCAGGTAAGTCTACTTTACAAGACCTCTTTAGAGTATGGAAGAACAAGGATGTTTCTTTGAGGACAAAGGTGCACCTGACCCAAGCCATGGTATTCTTCATTGCATCATATGCATGTGAAAATTGGATACGCATTGAGTAAGGCTGTAGTAAAATCAGTGCATTTGAATTGTGGTGCTGGAGAAGAATATCATGAACTGCTCAAAGCGCAAACCAATCTGTATTGGAAGAAGTAATACCATAGTACTCCTTGGGGCAAAGATGCCAAGAATGCATCTTACATACTTTGGACATGTTGTCAGGAGAGACCAGTCGCTGGAGGAGGACATCATGTTTGGTAAAGTGGAGGGGCAGTAAAAAAGGGAAAGGCCCTCATAGAGATAGATTGACACCATGGCTGTATCAATGGGCTCAGGCATAGGAATAATTGTGAGGATGGTACAGGACCATGCAGTGTTTTGCTTTGCTGTGTATAGGGGCGCTACGAGTTGGAACTGACTCCCTGGCACCTAACAACATCTCATCATGCTTTTCCAGCCAGTTCCTGTCCATACTCCAGTGGGGCTACCCGGACTCTAGGACCATACAGCTGAGGGAGACATAACTATTTAAATCATTTTATATCATATGGCTAAAGAGGCAAATAGAATTTATCTATACTTGTTAATATTAGCATTCACTGAAAGGTTAACATGTTTATGTTTAACAAGTAGGAAGTATGTTAGTTAGCAAGTAGGAAGTAGACAGCATCATTTTGACAATATCCAAGTTTTAAAAATACTTTCAGTTGGTATTTTGGTTATTTTTTTAGAAAGGATTCTTCTCTCTTAAGTTACACACTATTTATAGATGAAATAGTAGGTCTAGAATTTGTTCAAAATAATCTGAGAAAGGAAAAATAGACCAAAATCAGTCTAGTCATGATTGTTAACAAGAGTTAAAGATGAGTGATAGGTGCATGGCAGTTCATTACTGTACTTTTGTATATATTTGATTGTTCCCATAAGAGAGGGGCCCTAGTGGCATGGTGGGCTATGGGCTCTATGTTGCAAGCTGCTGATCACAAGGTCTTAAGTTCAAACCCATCAGCAGCTCCATGGGAGAAAGATGAGGATGCCTACTATTGTAAAGACTTAAAGTTCCAGAAACTCGAAGCAGCCATTCTACCCTGTCTTACCAGGTCACTCTGAGTCAGAATCAATTCACTGACAGTTTAGTTTTGAAGTTTTTCTTGAAATAATATAGGTAGATAGCTATCTTTTCACAACAAAAAAATTCTCATTCTAAAAATAATCTAGGCCAGGCTCATGTTCAAATATTAATGCAATGGCTATAATATTGGCCATTTTAAAACCAACGATGACCATAATAGTAATCATTTAAATTAATATTTCCAGGAGTCCTGCCTGACTCTGCATCCCTTTGCTCTACCAAGCTAGTCTATGAATGCTATGAATCACATCCAAAACACCCACAGAAGAGTCAGTCTCCTCGGAAGACCCAACGTGGTGCCTGGGACTGCCACCAATCTGGTATGAAAGCACACGGTCTTAAACGTTAAGGCCTGCAATAAATGTCTGATAAAAGACAATTGCCAGTTAGAAGATTTCCATTGTAGAATGGTGCCCTGCAGAGTTTTCAATGCTGGCTTCTCAGAAGTAAACTGCCAGGCCTTTCTTTGCAGGAACCACTGGATAGGCTGCAACCTCCACCTTTCAGTTAGCAGCTGCCATTTGCAATATACCTGGGGATCCAAATATCTGACGCAACTAGTTAAAGCAGGGTTTCAACAGCAGTCGCTCGTGCACTGTTTGTCTCAATTTTCTATCCTGTCTGACTAAACAATCAGTGGTGCACATGGCTCTGAGAGCCACCTCTGGCCCAGCCTTCCAAATACTGGTTCCACTGTGGGCAGGAAAGAAAAATATGAGAGTCAGGCAGAGGTGGGGTAAGGTCGGGGAGAGGTCATAAGGAAACTGTAATTCTGACAGATTAGTTTAGAAGCCATATTTGTTAATAGTATATAATTTTTTGAAGATTTCAACACTTCAAACTTCTAGCCCTATTTAGATTTAATTTTTAACACTAAAAAAGACAAAGAAAACTTTGAATCTCTTCTTCCCAAAGAACTAGCAAACAATGGTCTTTAACAACCTACTTTTTTTTTTTTTTGGTCTTATAACTGTCGAGATACTTGGCATAAAATGCACACAGTATGTAAACCGATAAAAGGACAGATTTCTGAACTTACCCAGTGTTTTCCGACTTCTTTCCACAGCAGTTCTTCGTGTCTGTTCAAACATTGCTTCCAAGTCAAATGTGCGGGCTTTTTTCCCTGAAACAGAGTCAAGGAGCAGACTGTGATGGCATTGCACTAAATCAGCCCAAATTCAAACAATAAATACTCTCTGATTGATCAAACACTCGTTATAATGACTTTTAGTATGTGAAGGACACAAGTAGTTTCTATGTGTGTCTAATGTATTATATGACTCCAAGATAACCATAAAATACCAAGGAAGGGTTTATTTCACAGGGAATCATTAACAGTCATCTCAATACTAAGTACCATCAACCAGTCAACTTTTCCATCTTCCCCTCTCCAGAGCCTGATGTAGCCCTTGAAACGGCAACACTGGTATAGTAGGGCAAATGAAGAACTGGTGTTAAGTGGCTTTGAATAGATTCAGATCAGGGAAGTCCCAGGTGTGCAGAGTAGAACCTGACATTGGGTTTTTAAGGTTGCAACCTTTGAAAGCAGATCACTGTCTACAGAACTGCCTCTTTAGAGGTAACTCTGGGTAGTTTTGAACTACCAACCTTTCAGGTAGTAGTGGAGTAATTAAAATATCTGTGCCACCTAGGGGACTCCTTTGAATAATGTTTACACCCTAATGCCTGTAATCAGTGTTATCTTACATTACAAAACAAATTTTGTAAATGTAACCAACAGGTTCATTGTGAACTGCTGGTTAACACGACTTCCATGTGTTTGTTACAGGGGTAAGTTACTCCTTAGGACTCTATTGTGGTTAAAATCTTTACAGAAACAGTTCACCAGGCTTACTTCTGAATAGACACTATATGGGTTTGAGCTACCTCCCTGTAAGGTTAGCAGTCAATCACAAACCACTTGGGCCACCCGGGTTCGTTGGAATTAAGTCCAATGACTTCAAAGCAGGGAAATTATCGTGGCACATATACCCTGGATAGTCTAATCGCATAAGCCCTTTACATCAAAGACGCAGGAGAAACTAGAGACACTGTTGTCATAACATCAGAAAGGGCCACCTCTTGAAGGGCTGCTGTCAGTCTGTAAAGGAGTTCCCATGGCCTAATGGGGTATGCATTGAGCATTAACCACAAAGTCTGCGTTCTAACCCACCAGTGGCTCTGTAGGAGAGAGGTCTACTCCTGTAAACATTTAAAGTGTGGAAACCCATGCGGGCAGTTCTATTCTGTCCGATAGGGTCGCTAAGAGGGAATCAGTCGGATGGCAGTGAATTTCATTTTAGGAGTTTGGTCAGTTTGTAGGTCTCAGGCTGATGATGCAGAGATAACGTCCTAAACCACCACCACCACCACCACCAGCCCCTCCTACGAGTAGTTCATAAAGCAAAGTCTTTGAGAACTTTCCTGAAGTGACAGCTAAGCCAACACATAAGCAGGATTTCGAGGACGGATGGAGAAGAGGGTTGAGAAGTTGCCAGATGTAGACGGGAGCGAAAGTAACTCGATGCTAGTGACGCCGAAAGGGCAGGACAGGGGTGACAGCTTGACATGCCTACCCAACCCGTGGCTCCTGAACCCTCTGGAAAAGACAAACAGGGCGACCCCTATCACTCACCGAACCCCGTAAAGCCCATGGTGACTGCCAGCTGCGGATCCGGTCCCGACGCGTCGGCGCCAGTCACTAGGGCGGGAGGCGAAGCGAGGAGAGGGTTTGTTAACATGTCGCTCTAGGTTAATCCGCCCCTACCCACCTCCCCAAGCCTCCGGGCTCTCCGCAAGGAACCCACCTTCGCTGGACACCGGTCGCTCCATTGCTGGCCACCAGTCGTCGCAGACTGAGCTGCAGCTGCAACCTCGCAGCACTGAAAACGCGCAGCAAGCTCGGGCGGAAGTGTTGCTTCCGAGCGTCATCACCGTAGACAAGAGCGGCGCCACCAACAGAAGCAGCGCCGCTTAGATACGGCGCCGCCCTAGTGGGTGGGAGGGGTAAAAGCACTGCTGAGGAAGCCTCCCCATTTAACCCACTAAGGAGCTTCAGCGGTGTACAGTAGTGGTTACACGTTGGACTGTGGTTCGCATGGTTAGCCATTCGAAACCACCAGCAGCTCCGAGTGAAAAACTGCGATTTTCTACTCTCGTAAACAGTTACATTCTCGGAAACTCACAGGGGGTCGCGATGAGTCAGCATTGACGCAATGGCAGCAAGTTTGTTTTTTGGTTTAAGAAGCCCTGGACTTTGAGGATGAAGGTGCGCCTGGCCCAAACCATGGCATTTTTCCGTTGCCTCATATGCATGTGAAAGTTGGACATTGAATAAGCAAGAATGTAAAAGAATCGATGCATTTGAATTGTGGTGCTAGTAAAGACTATTGACAGCTGAAAGACCAAACAAATAGAGCTTGGACCAGCGGTTCTCAACCTGTGGGTCTCGACCCCTTTGGGAGTCAAACAACCCTTTCATAGGGGTCGCCTAAGACCATCAGAAAACACATATTCCCGATGGTCTTAGGAGCCAAGACAATGCTCCTCTATCAGTCTCCAGGTGGGTCAGCCCACATGCAGATATGCCCCCACACAAGTACTGGCGTGATGACATCATCGCACCAAACCCATCACATACACCCCATACAAATACAGGTGCATGTGACAGGGTTGGTAGCATAATGTACTTATGCGGACCAGTCACACATGTGTAGAGACCGTCACACATGTGTAGAGAGCAGCTTCTGTGTTGAAAAGCAGCTACTCTGTTAAAGCAGCTACTGTGTTGAAAGCAACAGTATTGGAGGTAAAACAACACTTCATGAAATAAAATTACATGTTGCTTTAGTAATTTATCACGATGTTCAATTTGTAACAATGAAAATAGATCCTGAATATCAGATATTTACATGATGATTCATAACAGTAGCAAAATGACAGTTATGAAGTAGCAACGAAAATAATTTTACGGTTGGGGGTCACCACAACATGAGGAACTGTAGTAAAGGGTCACGGCAATAGGAAGGTTGAGAACCACTGTCTTGAACAAAGTACTGCCAGAGCGCTCCTTAGAGGCAAGGTTGATCAGACTTCCTCTTAACATACTTTGGACTTGCTGTCAGGAGAGACCAGTCCTTAGAAAATGACTTGGTAAAATAGAGGGCAGTGCAAGAGACGAAAGCCCTCAGCCAGATGGATTGACACAGTGGCTGCATCAATGGGCTCAGACATAGGAAGAACGGTGAGGATGACTCAGAACCAGGCAGCGTTTTCAGATGCTGTACATAGGGTTGCTATGGGTCAGAACCAATTCAATGGAACCAGCAACAACAACTAGGAGCCCTGGTTGCATAGTGGTCGTAATTTAGGCTGCTAACCTCAAAGGCAGCCATTCAAAACCACCAGCCATTCTGTGGGAAGAAAGAGTAATACTGTAACCCCCCTCGGCAGTTCTCTGTCCTACAGTATGGCTAGGCTTCGAAATTCACTCCATGGCAGTGAGTTTGGAGGGGGGGGGGTTGTTTGTTTTGAAAGGGAGCAATTAACTGGACCAACAGGTAACATCATGATAAATGGAGACAAGATTGAAGTCAAGAATTTCATAGATACAGCAGTCAAGAGCTCAAATGACCAATTGTTTGGTGTCATCGAATCAGTTCTGACTCATAGCAACCCCATCTACAACAGAACAAAACACTGCCCATCCTCACACTTGTTCTCATATTTGAAGCCATCATTGCAGCGGTTGTATCGATCCATCTTTTCGAGGGTCTTCTTCATTTTCATTGCCCCTCCGCTTTACCAAGTCTGGTGTGCTATTCCAGTGACAGTTCTCTCCTCATAAAAAACGTCTTGCCATCCTTGCCTCTAAGGAGCATTCTGGCTGACTTCTTCCAAGACACATTTGTTTGTTCTTCTGGCAGTCTGAGGTGTTTTCAACATTTTTCAACAGCACCGTGGTTCAAATGGATCGATGCTTCTTCTGGCATCTTATTCAATGTCCATGCATTCAACTTGCTCATGCATATGAGGCAATTGGAACTATCATGGCTTGGGTCAGGCAACCTTAGTCCTCAAAGTAACATCCTTGCTCTTCAACACTTTAAAGAAATATTTTGCAGCAGGTTTGCCCAATGCAGTTCCTGGTTTGTTCACTTGAATGCAACTTCCATAAGCATTTATTGTGGATCCCAGCAAGATAAAAGTTGTTTTTGTTATGTTATGTTACGTTACGTTACAATGTTACGTTATGTTGGGTCACATTTCTTCATCTTTCTTTAGAATGGGTATAAAGGTAGCTCTCTTTGTCAGTTGATCAGAAAAATGTATTCCAATTTTCTTAGGATAGACCTAATGAGTGTTGCCAGTGCCAATTCCTGATGCTTTGTTTTCGGTTACTATCTTCACAGCAACTTGGACTCCTTCAGTGCCATTAGCTCTTGATCATGGGCTACCTATTGAAAGTGTCAACTAATTCTTTTTGGTACAGTGACTATGTGTTCTTTCCATATATTTTTTATGCTTCCTGCAGCATTCAATTTTGCCTATAGAATCTTGATTCTCTGTTCTTTTTTCTTTTCCTTTTTTTTTAAAGAATCTTTCATTATTGCAACGTCTGACTTAAATGTTTTTAGTGTTTCAGAACATATGCTGAGTATGTTCTTTTTTTGTTTTCTAACTGCATGTCTTTGCAAATTTCATTT